ATGGGAAAAATGTTTTGCATGACGCCGACTGGCACACAAGTTTGCCGCGCTTTCAAGGAGCACGACCTGATCACGTGCGAGTCCAAAGTTTAAGTTGTTGTTTCCCGAGGGAGTTAGTGAGTTTTGACCCATGACACGAGGCACGTTCTCCTCCAATCGGAAAACGCATTTGAGTTGGGAGGTATACCAATTTGTCATGTTTAGAGCTTTTTGAGCCTGATCTTTACAATTGTTAGGTATGAACTGAATGAGGTATTCTTTGCTAGCGTTCTATTTCTTGCGTTTTCAGCATTTCAAGAAAGAGCTAAACAACTTGGAGCGTGTTAAAAATGAGTATATGCGGAAAAACAGTGAACAGGTATGTTAGTTGTACTCCTCGTGTCATAACAGCTAGATTCTCTTAACAAATGTCATACATTTCCTTAATGTTAGCTATGAGACTTTGATAGTACATCAAGGCAAAATTCATTTGTTGACGATTTTCTTTATTCTCATCGCCTCTGTGGGTGGTTACGTATTGACACAATAAAGAGAACTTGGTTATTGATCACCTTTCTGAGAAACCTTTATAATTTACCAGCCCAGTACTCCACATTACCATCTACACTTAAAGCGCAAAGTTGTAGTGTTCTTCTGGTGTTATGATTTGAGAGAATTAAAGCCGTCAGCAACGTAATCCAAGCCGTTATTTTGTTGGCTGAAATGCGTTTAAGTAGCCTTTGCAAGGCGTTAATATGAAGGCCTTCATTTGGTCTCTTCACTGCACTTCACTGCCGTCACTTGGTATGCTTTCTATTCCTAATAACCGTCCTTTCACTGTGTTGTTGATGCTTTTGCAGGCAAAAACAATCGGCGAGTTTGTGTCGAAGTTTGCTGACCTTCAAACAGAATTAGAAACCTTAATTCAAGCTCAGCGGTAGGTTACATGCCCTGGATAACCAATTATTGACAATGTATCAATATTGTTATTTGTAGGTGTTAATATCGTTTGATAGCGCGTTTAAGGCTGTAAGTTATGAAAATTGTAATCCCCGCATCAATATTACTGTTGTCAGGGATAAAGAAGAAGAACTCGAACGAGAGAAGAACCTCCGAAAAGATGTGGAACAACGTTATAAGGTGAATTGTAGAATTGAGTTACTGAGCTGAAGGACTAGCGTCTTATAAAAGCGGTTGCGATGTGTACTGCGTTCAATGCGAGCGCTGCTAGGGTTGGAGAGTTGGCTGAGTCAGCGGTATCTGTAGGCTGGGTTGTTGCTTAGCTACCTAGATTTCTGCGATTGGAGTGTCAGAGTCGGGAATTCTTCGCGGTTGCTTTTGAGTTCAGCGAGGATTTGTCGACAACATTACTTATTATACATTGAACTCGCTATCTCTTTTCTGATTGGCCGAAAGAGTACAGTGAATTTTCGAAATCAGAGCCTGTGACGTCATCTAGCTACAGATTGTACAATAATCATGTCAAGGACACTCAAGGTCATGGGTAATCCTGTCATGTATGACCGCAGTGCATGATTTCTAAGGGTAGTCAGGTCAAGTTCGCGCGCTTTGTGTTGCTTGCCGTTAGTGAAGAAGCCAAAACATGACTTCCATTTTCTTTTCGTTCAATGTATGATAAAACAATTATTAGATTCGGTTTTGTGATATTCAGAATAACCAAGGTCTCGGTAGACCTTGGTAAGGGTTATCAGCCTCAGCCTTCAGCTTCGTCTGATAACCCTTATCTCGACCTCAATTATTCTGGATATCACAAAAACCGAATCTAATAATTGTTTATTGTTTCACGTTTATTATTCATTTGTAGAAATAAATTCTGCCTTATAGTTGACTTTGTCGTCGCCTTGTTCTTGTAGAAGCTGCAGGCGCGAGAAAAAGACTTAGAGACGTCGAGAAAAGACACGGAGAGAAAATTAGCAGAGGCCAACTTCGAAACACAACAGGTACATTAGATTATCAGATTTTCATACCATATTAAAAGAAAATCAGCAAATTTTCAGAAACAAGACTTGTCATGTCACTGAGCAGCATGTACAAAGCCTAGCATGCGAGCAAGCACTTTTGGTGGCTCTCTAAACGAGCTACATTACGGTTTGCGCATCTTGAAGAGTTTAACCTAAATTTTTCAAGTTTGTCGTTTGTTATCCGCGTTAATCCTCTCCATCCTTAACCATCCTTGTTCCTTTGTGGTTTATTATTATCTCTTTGCTGTTTTTCTATCGTAGTAAACTATCATTTTCAGGTTTCCATCAATTAAAAGGTAATTTTATACATTGCCGAAACAACTCAAAATAACATGATTGAGGTCCTTTTCTGTAAGAGCTGCTGATAGCAACAAAAAGACAACATCGACTACAAGTTGAGTTGGGACACAGAAAAAAGTGTTTTTAGAATTTCCAAGTGTCCGTAAATGTAAATTGAGGCAGATGTCTGCTTCTGTGTTTTCGTTGCGTCAATTTCTGGTATATATACAGCAAATACTAAATTGGAAAGTAAATAAAAGGAAGACCTGTTTGACAGCTTGAATGAAAGGCGAGGAAAATTGTCAATCATCGCTTGTTACGAGTGTCTTGAAGTGGAGGCCACATGGAATACAACCAATTTGGAAAATTTCTCAGTTTTTGAGAAAAACGTGATGGTTTACTACTATCTCGAGTCGACTGACGCTTGCTTATCGAAGCTTCAAGCAGAACATAGACTACGCGTAGTCCCTCTTTCGCTTAGTCCGTCGTGCGTGATGCCAAACAAAACCGCGAGAAAAAAAAAAA